CCCTGGACCTGGCAGCATTAGCATCACCTGGGTACTTGTTAGAAATGCTAACTCTCAGGTCCCACCCAGACATGCTCATTCAGCACTCTAGGGTGGGATCCGGCCATCTGTTTTAACAAGCCCTCCAGGTGACTATGATGCAGCACGAGCTTGAGAACCCCTACCTGTGAAGTCCCCAAGTACCCATGAGAACTGGGAAGCCCAATTCTTAGCTCTGTCCCCTGAAAATGCCTGGCAGCAACTAGAGGCCCAAGCTGCCGACTACAGTCTTGACATCCCACTGCTCACCAAAAGGAATCAGGGCTCCTTAGACAAACGGCTGCCTGCAGATCAGGGACAGGAAATGTACAAAATGAGCCCAGAACATCTTGTCATGCCGGACTAGTAAAGAACCTAACAAAGATTCCTATATCTTAGAAGCCAACTAGAAAGAGGTTCTTCTTGGCCAAAGATGGAACAATTTGCATATCAATGAGGCAACAGCTTCAATGGACTGAAACATATCAACTATGTTCATAATAATTAAGTTAATAAAGACATGTTTTAAAAAAGCTAACTGATCACCATCAAAGGATGCTAGTGAACAAATCATTTTGAGACCGGTTACGTAAAAAGGGAAGAAGCAAGCATTCAATGCCTCGCCATGCCACTGGGTAGCCAATTATTATACATGCATGTATGTACATGTGTGTATATGTATACACACACACACACTCTTTACAGAAATATTTCAGCTAATAAATGAAAAAGAAATGGTGAAATGAGACTATCACCATTTTATAACCTTTAGGGAATTAGTGATATGAAAGTAAATGACTGCTGACACTACAAAAGAGAGACAATCAGGCATTACGTGTCTGCTGAAGAAAGAACACCCACCACCTATGAAACAATATCGCAAAAATAAAATAAAATCCAACCTGAAGCCGACTTCGTCTCCTGCTTTAACTACCAGAGTCTAGACAGTGGCACCTCTTCAGGACAAACAAGCTGGGTTTGTCAACAAATTACAAGAAAGAAAAGGGAGATGGAGGGGAAATGAAAATTTTAAGAGAGACTTACACAACTTATCTAAAAACTTTATTTAGATGCTAGTTCAACTGTTTTTTTTTTAGAAAAATACATTTAAGACATATAGGAAATTTAGGCACTGAGTATTTGACAGTAAGAAATAGTTTTAGACGTGATTTTAAAAAATACCATAGATTGGGAGGCTTAAACAAAGGAATGTATTTTCCCAGAGCTCTGGAGGGTGGGATGCCCAAGATCCAGTTGTCAGCAGATTCCGTTTCTGGTGAGGGCCTGCTTCCTGGATTGCAGATGGCCACCTTCTTGCTGTTATCCTCACGTGGCCTTTCCTTCGTACAAAGGTGGGGTCCTCTCTCTTCCTATAAAGCCAATAACTCCATTATGACAGGCCCACCCTCCTGACCTCACCTAACCCTAATTACTTCCCAAAGGCCCCACCTCCCAATACCATCACACTGGGAGTTAGGGCTTCAACATGATTTTGGAGGGGACACAAATATTCAGTCCATAACATACATTTATAGATAAATTATATAATGTCTGAGATTTACTTCAAAATAATATAAGATTGGAGAGTGGGCAAGGGCAACATATGTAACCCAAACATTTGTACCCCCATAATATGCAGAAATTTAAAAAAGAAAGAAAAAATAATATAAAACTGGGAAGAATGAGAGGTATAGTGAAGCAAGACTGGGCAATTCGCCCAAGTGTTGAAGTTGTATGAAAGGTCTGTAGGGTTTTTTTATACTATTCTACTTCTGTACATATTGCAAGTTTCCATAATAAAAAATTTGATTGTTAAAATTCTCCCATTTCCCTTATCCTTTTTTTTCCATAGCACTTATCACCTAACATATAATTTATTATTTATGCATATTGCCTATCTCCTATAGACAATGTAAGCTCTTAGCGGGCTGGGATGTTTGCTGATGTAACCCAAGCCCCGACAGCAGTGCCTGGCAGGGAACAGCAGCTCAGTAAATATTTGCGGACTGATGAATATAGCCCAGTTCCTCCATACTCTACATTGAACCGAGGAACCCCAAAGGTCAGGATATCCTACAGTCAAAGTAATGACAGTGCTGGATATCAAGTTCTCAGAATATGAATTTAATTTTGGAATGAGTAAGATTATACTAAAAATTTCTAGTGTGTTGCTTAGTTCTTAGAATGCTGAAGTAAAGGAAAGTAACATCCTTATTTTATTTAACTGTATGGCAATGGCTTTCTCTGAAAGATAATTTTAGGGACAAACCTCCCCCCTTCCATGTGAGCAGATGGCGTGTGACTCCCTCCTAAGTACTTGGTAGAGCCTGGCGATAGAGGAGGAATCAGACATCTTGACACTGGCCCAAGATGCCCTACTCAATAGTAATGACTGATCACGGTCAGGCACAGCACAACTGGCCCTCAGCTCTTCAACTTCAAAATGACCTCCAATGACCCTTCTCATCACTAGCTGTCCAGGTGAACTAGAAGTGCCCACAACTGCTATGCTATAGATTTAGTTAAAATTACTACCCAAACGGGTTGTTGTCAGTTCCAAGGCTCTACCTAAAATTTCAATTCTGAAATTTATGCAGACTTCTAAATGCTAACTGATCTCAGTTAAAAATAAGAAAAATTGAGGCCACAGTGGCTCACATCTATAATCCCAGCACTTTGGGAGGCCAAGGTGGGAGGACCGCTTGCTTGAGGCCAGGAGTTCAAGACCAGCCTAAGCAACAGAGTGAGATCTCATCTCTACAAAAAAAAGAGAAAAATTAGCCGGTGTAGTGGCAAGTGCCTGTAGTCCCAGCTACTTGGGAGGCTGAGGCAGGAGGATCGCTTGAGCCCAGGAGTTTGAGGTTGGTGTGAGCTAGGCTGATGCCACGGCACTCTAGCCCAGGCAACAGAGCAAAACTCTGTTTCAAAAAAAAAAAAAAATTTCCCTTCAGAAATGTATTTACATAATGCCTATGCGAACATATTGTTATTGAAAGGTAAGTAAACTAAGAAGTAGGAGATATAACTAGGTATGTAGCTGTCAATACAAGCAATAAATATTTATCCAGCACTCATAATGTGCACAGCATTTTGGGAGAAAAAAATTCATGACTTGGAAGACACTGAAACCTAATATGAACAGAGAATGTCTTCATCATCCCTGAGAATTCAGAAAGCGCCTGGGAATTGCAGGGCCTTCAGACCAGCTCTACCCACACCTGTTCTCTGGGACTGAAAGTGCAGAGTCGGGAAAGACTTTCAGATCATAAAGATTCTGAGAGAAAAAAAAAAAACAGCTATTGCTGAACTATGCAAGTCTCCCAACTTAATGTAAGTGAGATACAAACCACTTCCCTAAGAAAAGTCTATCACCTAAAGATGAAGCAACAAATTTCAAACTTAAATATAAAACTTCTCAGGAATCTGACTAGAGGGAGCATAAAAAGAGCATGCCCATAATCAGAAGGAAGAAAGAAAGAAATAGAAAAAGAGAAGGGTGCTCAAGACATATAGAATAGTCTAACTCCGGCCTGGGCACCCAGATTTTGCAATAGAAAGAGAGTGCTTCCTTTCAAAGCATGAAAGACAACTGGGAAAAACCAAACTGCATAAATTCATGAAAATACACAGTACTGCCTAAGGTCAAAAATCCCGTTTCAAATACCTCTCAGCAAGACATCAAAATGCTAGCCAACATTTCGACACTTCCCACAAGTGTTTTTAAAAGTATGATTCTAAAGTTACACTTGCAAAAATTAGGGTAAATTTTTTCTTAACAGAAAAATAGTTCATTTGCATTAAATGGCGGGGGGAGGGGATTGACACCCAAAGAGACACTAGTCTAGCCGTCCAGAGCGTGCACTCGCCAGTGAGACTGTTAACGGCGAGCGGCTCACCTAACCCCCTGAACTGCGGTTTTCTCCTCCGTAGAACTGTCTGAGGGGACCGCGGGGAAGATTCAATGAGCTAAAGGGCGAAGAGCGAGTCCCAAGTCGCAGTGCGAGCTCTACTCCCGCGCTGGGGCGGCGCTGACCATGACCCGCATCACCCAAGAACAAACCTGTTCCTACTTGGTCAACGCCCGCAACAGAGAGCCCCTGGGACCCTTCCGCGGAGACGGCTGCCCGTGGGAAAAGACGGGCCCCGGTCTCGGGGCGCGCGGCTCGGCCTGGCCGGACGGGCCCCCGCTCCTCGCCCTCGGCCTCGGCCCTGGCCGCGCGCCTCGTCCCGGGCGGAGTCCGGCGGGTTCTGCCCAACTGCAGCCGGCAGGGAGCACAACGCCGGGGTCGGAGGGCCCCGCCGCAGCCGCCGCCCCGGCCACACCTCCAGGAAGCGGCCAACCCAGAGCGCGCCGGCGGGGCCCGGGGACCAAAAGAGCAGGGACCAAGAGGCCGGGGCCCGGGCCCGCCCCAGCGGCCGCCGCGTCCGCCCAGCCGGGCACTCACAGGTGACGATGGGCTTGTTCTCCATGGTGTAGATCACCGGCGGCAGCGGCTCCTCAGGGGCGTCCATTGGCGTCCGGGGTCACCGGCCTGGCCCCTCGCGCCCCATGGGCAGCCCCGAGGCCGCGCCCGGCCCAGCCCGAGCCCGACCCTGAGCGGCGCCGCCGGCCGTGACAGCGACGCCCGCCCGGCCGCGCGAGGCAGCTCCTGAGCCGGCCGCGCCACCGCCGCCCGCTACCGTCCGCCGCATCCACTTCCGGTCTCGGCGCCGCCGCATGACCACTTCCGGGGCGCGCGAGGCTGAAAAGGGAGGGCCTTCCTTCTGCGTGTCTGGCGACGGAAAGGGGGCGCCGGCCGGTCCTCGCGGGAGGGAAGGGGGCTCGCTGGGGGTGCGCGAGGTCACCGGGCCGAACCCGGGGCCTGGCAGGACGATGGGCCTGCGCTGGCCGTGACGCTGTGTGGGGTGAGCGGCCGCGGCTGCAGGGCGGAGCACGCTGAGGTGCCTCTCGCTGCGGCCGGCGGGGCTCCCCACGGGCAGACCGCACGGTCCCTTCCGGGTGTTTCCGTGGCCCGAGCCGCCCTCCGCCGTGCTCCTCCGGCCCCGCTCGCGCCCCGCACCCACGCGGCCCCGCACCTCCGCGCGGGGCTTCCACTGTGCGAAGCGGTGCACACTTTGCGAATGCAGCGAAATAAAACCTCCCTTTTAACTGTGTCTAAACTTCCTGTGCAAGTAAACTGGGTTTGAGATGATTTCTGTAAGTGAAATAAATTGCCGACCTGAAATAATCAAAAGGGTCACAATCTACAGTTTATTCAGGCACGAAGTTTAGGGACAGGAAGCACAGATTCCACAAAGTAGGAAGTCAGTGTTCCCAAGTATGGAAATTTGGGATCATTTATATAGACAAAGCTAAGAGAAGCTGAACAGAATTTCAACATGTTTCTATGGCATAATTTCGGTGATCTGATTAGTCTGTTTTTTCTTTCAGAAGAGGTATGTTAAACATACCACACTGAAGATGTAACAGTCATGGGGTCGTGTGCTCATCTGGTCTGAGTTAGATACAGGACAATAAAGGAGGCAGTTAATCCACAACAAAGATCAGTGATTGGAAGGAGTCGTCCTGGTCTCTGGTCTCTCCTAGTCATTTACAGAGCAAAGAACACTGAGGAAAAGAGTAAATCTATAATCTACAAAGTAGAATTGCAAACATACTACCTGACTCAGTCTCCAGGGCTTAACTTCCCCCTCGGCATAGTAAATTTAGAGGGTCCTGAAATTTTTTCTGTTACAAAACGTATGTGTGAAATAGTTCGAGTGTGAACACAGCTGCTAAGTGTGTGTGTGTGGTGTAGCTTGGTGCATCATAGCTGTGTGAGAGGCAACACCAGACCCCAGGGCTGCCGAAGCAGCGGGACCGGGCAAGTCAGAGCACTGGAGAGGAACAGACGGGGAGCCACAAGTCCACCTGGGGCTCCCCGAAAGTCCTTGGCCTAGGCTAGGCTAAGCATATGTAGGATGCGACTCCATGGAACTTATCAGGAAGTAGCTGCTAACAGTTGAGAAGGGCACAAGAACTAGAGGTCAAGCAGTGCTATAGGAAAGACCTTTTAAGTACCATGGGCACTGAGGACATTCAGCTTAGACACTGGACTGAGGGGACCACATCCCCAGGGATCAGCAAACTTTATCTGTAAAGGCCCAGATGAGTATTCTCATCTGGGTTCTGCAGTCCACATACGGTTTTTGTCTCCCTCCCCTGGTTTTTTTTTTTTTTTTTTGAACAAGTCTTTAAAAAATATAAAAACCATTTTTAGCCCAAGGGCTATACAAAAACAGGCCATGGCCAAACGTGGCTTGTGAGCCATAGATTGCCAGCCTCTACCCCAAAATAAAGCCTACTCTATTCCTGCCCTAACAAAGCCTAAATAAAAGCCTTGACACAATCTACAAGAGAGAGAGAGAGTTTGGAAAGTAAGTCCTGCCAAGTTAGAGGGGCTTGGGAAACACTTTGGGCATTACTCAGAACCAACAGAACAAAGTATAAAACTAAACCTACACACGCCCAAGGTGATAAATACAGTAATTGAACTGCAAACTAGAATAAAAATCAAGATTCTTCAGTCGAAGATAATTCAGCATCTATATGATTTGTTATTTGTCAACATCCAATATACACTAAAAAATCACTAGACATGCAAAGAAACAGGAAAATATAAACTGCAGTTGAGAAAAAAAAGGCAGTCAACCTACCTCCTGATGGCCCAGATGTATTTACAGACTCCAAAGCAACTATAAAAAATATGTTCAAAGGATTAAATGAAAACATAGTCTTAATGAGTAAAGAGATAGGAACTCACAGCGGGGTAATAGAAAGTACTTAAAAAGAATCAACCGAAAATTCTAGAACTAAAAAGTACAATAACTGAAGTGAAAATTTCACTGAATTGTATTAATAGGAGATTGAAAATAACAGAAGGAGTTAGTGATT